TTCTATATAATTGTTTTTGAAAATTCTAAATATCTTTACTATTAACATATAATTTGCAAATGCTTCATAGATTTCCATATTTATTAAAAACATGTACGATCTAATTGTTATCTTATTTTGAAAGAAAAATAGACAAGTTAAGTGGTCATACAATAAAGAATTGATCAAACCAAATGAGCAGAATTACAAACTTCAACTTAACAATACAAGTTTGTACAAATAATTTTATGATATTTAGTATGGGGCACGTGCCCCACATCTTTGTACATGGATCCGCCACTGAACATAGGCATGTTTATAATGTATATAAAAATAATTCGAATGGATTTTTGATTATATATATATAGAAATCCCGAAGAGCGAGGCGAATTCGAAATGTAAGAAGTTTTTAGGGGAAGCCCCAGTGGGAAACAAATGTAAGGAAAAGGCTTGTGAAGCCATATGTGCGCAATATTACTACAACTCCTGCAAAGGAGAATGTGAGAAGCATGGCTACGAAGAGCATTGCCACTGCTACGGTCCTTACTGAAATTTACAAATAAACTCGTTTCGGATAAAAATATAAGATATTATACCTCTAATGTAATAACTATAAGTGTGGTTTGTTCGAGTTACGTGTGTATGTTGTTTACTTTCGAATAAATAAGAGGAAATGACTGATTTCCTCTTAACTATATAATAAGATCATGTTGTATGTTGTTTCGTTTTTATAATAAACTTGTTTTGTACTTTGGCCTAAGTAATTTTTTTTCCTTAAACCATCTTAGATCAAAACATTCGCCATCGTTTTCTTGATGATTTCGGTTCACAATATTATTTTATTGCAATCGGAGCTCTGTTTATGTAGGGGATTTCCGAGATCCCCCCCGCCCCCCCAAAAAAATTGTTTCATAGATTGGTGTTTGTATGAGAATTTATAATTTAAACCCCTAGTTATTAACTTTAACAAAAAAAAAACCTTAGTTATTACACTAAATGAAACAACTGATATTTAATGATAGAATAAAAATATATAAGAAGTTGTAAAGAATATTTTAATAAGTGTGACAAAAGTAAACAAATCTAATTTTATGAAACGAATCAATAGAGTAAATG